TGGCCAGCAGGTCGAGGGAGGTGATTCTGCCCCTCTACTCAGCTCTGGTGAGACCTCACCTGGAGTACTGCGTCCAGCTCTGGAGCCCTCAGCACAAGAAGGACATGGAACTGTTGGAACGGGTCCAGAGGAGGGCTACAAAAATGATCCGAGGGCTGGAGCACCTCTCCTATGAGGACAGGCTGAGAGAGTTGGGCTTGTTCAGTCTGGAGAAAAGGAGGCTACGGGGAGACCTGATTGCGGCCTTCCAGTACCTAAAGGGGGCCTATAGGAAAGATGGGGAACGTCTTTTTCATAGGGCCAGCTGTGTTAGGACAAGGGGAAATGGTTTTAAACTAGAACAGGGTAGGTTCAGGCTAGAGGTAAGGAAGAAATTTTTTACAATGAGGGTGGTAAAACACTGGAACAGGTTGCCCAGAGAGGTAGTGGAGGCCCCATCCCTGGAAACATTCAAGGCCAGGTTGGATGGGGCTCTGAGCAATCTGATCTAGTTAGCAGTGTCCCTGCTCACTGCAGGGGGGTTGGACTAGATGACCACTAGTGGTCCCTTCCAACCCTAAACATTCTATGATTCTATGATTCTATAAAACATCAGCATCACTTGGAGATGCCCTCATCAGGCCCCTCAGGGATGACAGCCCGCATGCTCCTGTTTAACTGGCAGTGGTGCAGGAAAGACCACGCCACTTCCTTTCTAGGTGGACCAGCAGAGCAGACATCCTTCCATCAAGCACCTTGAATGCAGCCAGCAGAACTCATAAATCACAGGCTCTTTGTCCCAAAGCATTCACAAAACCAAAAGCAGAAAAAAGGAAATAGAATCTCTCCTGGTCTTTGTTCTCTAAAGCAGAGACTGAGCCAAGGCTGCAAATTGTGTGGATCAGTACAGGACTTTTGATTAACAAGAGAAGACTCAACTTCTGAAAAGTGTCTTGCTCAAGGTCATGGGCTGTAGCAAAGAGGTCTGAACACTGGTTTTCTTATATGAAGATAAACCTTTAGCTGCTCTCCTTCCCTTTTTATGGTGTGCATTTTTGTAAGTTTACCTTCCTTAAAACTCATTAATCTAAAATGGAAGTGCTTGGATAGCCTGCCAGACTTTGGATGCAAAGTGTCTGTCCAGGCCTTCAGGCTCTAAATTTCTAATTACAAAACACTCCACGGTATAGTTCATGAGACAGAAATAAGGGCCCCATCAAAAGTCTTGCACTTACTAGCATAGAACTTCAGGAGCCTGGAGAGTAAATGGGAGAGAGATTGCTAGACAAGGGAAGAACAACCAGCAGTCTTGGTTTTTTCTGCAGAATATCTCAATCGTATGGACCCAGGGGAACCATCAGGTTTGAAAGAGTTAGAAGCTGTTTTGCTGTGCTAGAAGAAGTCCACTGAAAACAAAAAAAGCCGTTTTCTCCTGAAAGTTGTGTCTCCCAGAGAGCATGCAGAGCAGGGAAGTCCATCAGGAGACTGAATGGTGGAAAGATAAACAAGATACAAGATAGACAGGCAAACAAGGTGAAAACAGAAGTGCCTCCTTTGCCCGATGGCTAGTTTCCAATCATAAATACATTACAAAAGGAAATATTTTGTGTGGGAAAACATAACATCCAGATGATGTCTATTCTATCAGGGCTCAGCTTATCCCTAGGAGAGGAAAAAGAAGATCAAAGGAAAAGATTAAAGGAAGCAATTTTCAATTTTAAACACAGTCTTAACATGACAGAAAGAATAGTAAGAACAGCTGAAAGACACTCAGGGTCTGGGAGAGATGCCTTGGCTGAAGGTAGTGCAGTGTTTACCATATTTGTCTGCTTTATTTTTAAACACCCAGAGCCTTTGCTTGATCAACACTTCCTTGTAAAAGAAGGAAGCAGAGGAGGAGTGAGAGGCTGTGGGGAGAGAGGCAAATGAGGTTGGAAATTGATGATCTTCCCAGCCATGAAAGTCAAAATTCCTGCTTGAAACCAAATCTTCCTGGAGTGCTACACATGTGGGAAAAGGGGAGGGAAGGAAAGAAAGAAGATTTATTACTTAAGCAGAACTGAAATTCTGATGAGAAAAAGGACTGTCTAAACCATGCCTGAATGTCAAGAGCAGATCTGAAACTGGGTTTGTCATATTTCCCTCTTCTATGCAAGCATTAAAAAAAAAAACCAGGGGAAGTGGTTTGGCTTTTTACAGAGGAGGGAAAAAAGCCACTGATGTCCCTTGATCTTATGAAGCCCTGAACTCTTATATTCCATTTATAGCTCGAGCTGGAATGACATCCCCCTTGATTAGCAAGCTGTCCAATCCAGCTGCATGTGTCAGGACTGTACGAAGCACTAAGTGAAATATATATATGCCCTTACAGAGTTTAGCACATTGGGTCCACCTCCGGGGCACAGGCTGTAGCTCATTCTGACCACTGCTCCTCTCTCGGGAATAACTCTTAAGGTTTGGTTTGGGTTTTTTTAAGGTTTTGGGGGGGGCACCTTTACTTTCAAGCATAAGCAACACAAAATGGCACCAAAGAAGGACGTAAAGAAACCAGCGGCAGCACCAGCACCCGCGCCAGCACCAGCACCCGCTCCTGCACCAGCTAAACCCAAAGAACCCGCAATCGATCTCAAGAGCATCAAGGTAAATGGATGAACGTGTGCTGATCGCGGGCCCCAAAGCACTCCCAAAGGCAAAAGTTAGCAGAGTCCTGTCTGAGACCTGCAGTGAAATGTTGTGTGTGGTTGGTTCCAGTTTGGGGATGGCAGTGAAATGAATGAGTAACCTCAGTCAACGGATTTATTAACCTGCCTGAGCTTTTGATTGTTTCAGTAGCTGGAGGGGTGGAAGGCATGGTGCATGATTTACCACATAAGTGAAGCCTGGTGGTTTCAAAAGTATTTTGGAGTGTGTCCCTCAGAACTTTTTACCAAATCAGTATCAGTCTAACCTGTTTGGTAAAGCTAAATTTAAAAGAAAAAAAAAAAAAAACCACCAACCAAAAAAGCCTCCCCAAACCCCCTAAAGTAGGTGCATGAGGACAGGAAAGGGTTACTGGAACTTGAAATGCAATGTTTTCCCATAGCACTGCACTAAAACCAAACCTTATTTTGCAGTTTCCCCTCAAATTCCTTCCCAAAGTTTTGCAAGCACCTGATGACCCTTTGGTCATCTGTTTTGAGATCAGCGTGGTTTATCTTTAAAAGCAGAAACAAAACAGGTTTAAAAAAAAAAAAA